TCCTTTGTGTTCCAGATGGTGATCCCATCCTAGTTGACAGTAATTCGTGCAATGTAAGAAGTTAATTCTCGAGTAACTTTCACATGTTTTTTAACGTTTGTAAGTGAAGTTTCTTTATAGCTGATACCTCGTGTCACATGGTGTGCGACTCAGTTTTAATATCACATTGTTCACCGTGTTTCATTTCTTTTCCCCGTGCTTGTAGTGAGAGATAGTAATTCGTTCCTCCTTGCATATTGCATGTTATAGCGTTAATTTTTCAACCGGGGAGAGTCATCCACTCCACCGAGTTTGTTCATTCCTCCAGTAAAAGAGAACCGATCCCTTGTGTTCTGGTGATTCGATTCCCGCTCCAGGAAGATCTTATTCTGACTGTGAATCCACCCCGCACCCATCAGTGACTTTGTAATGAGCCAAGAATTACTGTATCGAACAGCGAGTTGGGGACTCCCAAACAGAAGAGTGTACCATTAGTAATTTCACAGTCCTAGTGAACGTAGCTCTACAGCTAGTTCATGATTGCACCAGGTGTTGCACACCTGGTATGGATCATTTTTGTGAAACAAGCCAGAATGAAGTGCTTTTGGCCACGTATGGCAACTGACAATTTTAGAGTATGTTAAGAAATGTAGTGTATGTATGCAACATAAAGGAAATTCAATGGTCCTAATCCAATCCAAGTGTACCCAACCCTAGCAAACCGTGGGAAAGAGTTGCCCTTGATTTGTTAACTAATTTTTAAATGTTTCCCTCCAAGGCAACAAACATCTGTGTGTTTGTAGACCATTTCACCAGATATTGTGAGTTGTTCCTATTGCAGATAAGACTGCAGAGACAGTAGCTAAAGCGTTTAAGAACGCATTATCTGCAGGCATACCACCCCTAATCCTTATAACAGATAATGGAGGTGAATTCTGTAATGAGATTCTTGAAAATTTGTGTACTTTGTACAAGATCTCTAAATCCACCATTGTTCCTCATCATCCTGCCAGCAATGGGTTAGCTGAACGAACCAATAAAAGGTAATTTAAAGTCTTGAGAGCCACTATCAACCCCAATATGAAACTTGGGATGAAATTATACCAGATGTTCAATGTGCCATAAATTCTGCTTACAATGCTTCCATAAGGTGATACTCCACATTATGCATTGTATGGTGTAGACAAGCGTTTACCCTATGAGTTGTTATATTCCACTCCGAAACCTAATTACAACCCTGATGATTTCATAGCTCAGAGTGTTTTTAGAAGAATCCATGAAACACTTCATAAATCAACAGCAGAATTTACTAGAGTAACTAATAGCCGTGCTAAGCCGTCAAAAGTTAAAGTAGGTTCAAGAGTAATGCTGACGAATTTCAACAAAACATCCGCAATGCCTAAGCTCGATCAAAAGTTTGTCGGTCCTTATCGAGTTGTAGATCATATCTCTGGCAATAAGTATAAGGTTAGAGAAATTACTACTGGTAAGTACAAAGAATCGCATTTAGATCATATGAAATTAGTAAGCGATGTTTGATGATATTGCTACCCAACAAATTTGTGACAGATGCTGAAAATCCTCTTGACTCTGTACCCTCTACCCTCAAATACTCAGTCGAAAAATCAACCTGAAATGTCGTTACTCTTTGCGTACTCACAAGTAATGAGAAACCCACAAGTTTCTTTTGTAGATGCTCGTCCAGATCCCCCTCAGTCAAGGCATTTGTTAGCCATTGCAGAGAATTCGTTTCCCCCTAGAGATGATAACCATTCTGGGATATGTAAACCTCACCCCTCGCAGAATTGGTTTAAATGTAACATAGTCTGTATAATTAATGTCAGAGATGAAAAGGGAAAATTTTCAACTTGTGGGTTTGTTAATTTAAATGATCAGTTTTTTTTTAGAAATTTTTTTTTTGTGTTCACGTTCCCTCCTTATTCTGAGATTTTGACAGTAATGATCTGAGTGCACCAGATGCCTTTGTTGTTAATTTCACCTTCTTTCTTTCAACACACCGGCCGTATCCCACCGAGGCAGGGTGGCCCAAAAGGAAAAACGAAAGTTTCTCCTTTTACATTTAGTAATATATACAGGAGAAGAGGTTACTAGCCCCTTGCTCCCGGCATTTTAGTCGCCTCTTACAACACGCATGGCTTACGGAGGAAGAATTCTGTTCCACTTCCCCATGGAGATAAGAGAAAATAAACAAGAATAAGAACTAGAAAGAAAATAGAAGAAAACCCAGAGGGGTGTGTATATATGTGCTTGTACATGTATGTGTAGTGTGACCTAAGTGTAAGTAGAAGTAGCAAGACGTACCTGAAATCTTGCATGTTCATGAGACAGAAAAATTTCACCTTGTATATTTATTTATTTATTTATTTTTTTCAAACAAGTTGGTTGTGTGTGTGTGTGTGTGTGTGTGTGTGTGTGTGTGTGTGTGTGTGTGTGTGTGTGTGTATATATATATATATATATATATATATATATATATGACAGGGTGGATAGGGGGGCAATGTGGCAGATGTTGCAAGTGTATGGTGTAGGAGGTAGGTTACTGAAAGCAGTGAAGAGTTTTTACGAGGATAGTGAGGCTCAAGTTAGAGTATGTAGAAAAGAGGGAAATTTTTTCCCAGTAAAAGTAGGCCTTAGACAAGGATGTGTGATGTCACCGTGGTTGTTTAATATATTTATAGATGGGGTTGTAAGAGAAGTAAATGCGAGGGTCTTGGCAAGAGGCGGGGAGTTAAAAGATAAAGAATCACACACAGGGTGGGAGTTGTCACAGCTGCTCTTTGCTGATGACACTGTGCTCTTGGGAGATTCTGAAGAGAAGCTGCAGAGATTGGTGGATGAATTTGGTAGGGTGTGCAAAAGAAGAAAATTAAAGGTGAATACAGGAAAGAGTAAGGTTATGAGATAACAAAAAGATTAGGTGATGAAAGATTGAATATCAGATTGGAGGGAGAGAGTATGGAGGAGGTGAACGTATTCAGATATTTGGGAGTGGACGTGTCAGCGGATGGGTCTATGAAAGATGAGGTGAATCATAGAATTGATGAGGGAAAAAGAGTGAGTGGTGCACTTAGGAGTCTGTGGAGACAGAGAACTTTGTCCTTGGAGGCAAAGAGGGGAATGTATGAGAGTATAGTTTTACCAACGCTCTTATATGGGTGTGAAGCATGGGTGATGAATGTTGCAGCGAGGAGAAGGCTGGAGGCAGTGGAGATGTCATGTCTGAGGGCAATGTGTGGTGTGAATATAATGCAGAGAATTCGTAGTTTGGAAGTTAGGAGGAGGTGCGGGATTACCAAAACTGTTGTCCAGAGGGCTGAGGAAGGGTTGTTGAGGTGGTTCGGACATGTAGAGAGAATGGAGCGAAACAGAATAACTTCAAGAGTGTATCAGTCTGTAGTGGAAGGAAGGCGGGGTAGGGGTCGGCCTAGGAAGGGTTGGAGGGAGGGGGTAAAGGAGGTTTTGTGTGCGAGGGGCTTGGACTTCCAGCAGGCATGCGTGAGCGTGTTTGATAGGAGTGAATGGAGACAAATGGTTTTTAATACTTGACGTGCTGTTGGAGTGTGAGCAAAGTAACATTATGAAGGATTCAGGGAAACCGGCAGGCCGGACTTGAGTCCTGGAGATGGGAAGTACAGTGCCTGCACTCTGAAGGAGGGGTGTTAATGTTGCAGTTTAAAAACTGTAGTGTAAAGCACCCTTCTGGCAAGACAGTGATGGAGTGAATGATGGTGAAAGTTTTTCTTTTTCGGGCCACCCTGCCTTGGTGGGAATCGGCCAGTGTGATAATAAATAAAAATATATATATATATATATATATATATATATATATATATATATATATATATATATATATATATTTTATATATATATATATATATATATATATTATATATATATATATATATATATATATATATATATATATATATATATATATATATATATATATATATATATATATATTTATTTATTCTTCCTCAGAATCCGTAGAGTGCATGAATACAGATCGATCGATCAATTCCATCCATATTGTTCAATGATTTGTTCTTATAAGTCGTAATGCATTACGTTAAAACTCATTACGTTAACACCCATTATGTAAAACTCATTATGTTAACATCCATTATGATACCATCCATTAGTTCTAAGTTATATATATATGAATTTGTTATTGTATAGAATCAGCCCAGAACCACCTGCCTGTTCAGCCTATAGCATAGTAGTCTATGTCGAGACGACATACGTAACATGACCGAGCTGTCAGCATAGTTGCTGATCCCCTTATATGTGTTATATAGATTAGCTGAGTATCATAGTACCATCCATGTGCTTTATATAGAAGCTCCCTAGGCCTGTGACTGTATGACATCACGGGGTACAGCCTGAGTCAGTGTGAGACGTTCTGCCTCGCTCTCACTTGGCGTATAGACATCCAGGCAGCAGGCAGGCCTGGGCTCCCGCCTCTCATCACAGTCTGACAATACATGGTGTTACCATCCAACAAGTGTGTCTCCCTTCAACCCTCATTTCTCCTACCGAACCCCATACGACAAAAGTGTTGAATGATGATGAAAGTTGTTTTCTTTTTGGGTTTTTCTTTCTTTTTGGGTCACCCTGCCTCAGTGGGGAAACTGCTGATGTGTTAAAAAAAAAAAGTAATGTGTGTACTGTATATGCATTTTTTAGGCCTAGCTCTATTGCTCATTTAATATGTGATAGTGTAAACATGTTATCATACTTCTATATGCATTTGAAAGTGAAAAAAGGTTATGTTTTACTTTACAGCGGTAATCTGGAACCTGACCTGTTGTATAAGCGGGGCCCTCCTGTATACAGTATTAGTAATTTAAATTGGTGCTCATATCCTTTTATTGAAGTAAGCAGTGCATTATTTATAGGTTTTTTGTCCTAACTAAATTTTAAATTATTCTTACAAAAATTTTTTAATTGCAACTTTGAAGCTGATGTGACAAGATTTATAATAGCATTTTTCACCACAGTCGTCGTTTTGAGGACTATGCAACTTTGTCTCGGCCAGATCCACCACCATATCAGAGAAAGTAGGTTCTGTTCAGTATTTTATTTTATGAGTGCTATATTTATAGTACATTTATCTGTTAAAACAAGTGAAACTACTTAATGTTGCCAAACATTAAAAAAAATTGTAATACAATTGTTATATGTATCATGCAGGCATTGTTGGTATAGAGGCATGGTATTCTGTAAACCTAATCTGTAGGCTATGAAGGTATATGTATTTGTGGTCACAACCACATGGAATGATGTAGATATAACGAAACCTCGATTTTCGTATGCCCTAGTTTGTATGTAAAACTATAGTTATTCTCTATAAAATGTATTTTTTGTTAATATTTCCCATAAATAATGTAAATCCAATTAATCCATTCCAGCCACCCAAAAATATTAACGAAGAATACATTTTATAGAGAATAACTATAGTTTTACATACAAACTAGAGCATATGAAAACCGAGGTTCCACTGTACTTGTATTATCATGGCTCTAGCAGTTATCTTTTTGTCTAGTCAAATCTTTGATAGTGCTGGATGTGATAGTGACAACACTTATCCTGCTCTTGGCAAGAGTGGTTGTAATATATCCTGCTGTGTGGCCTGTAGGAAAGACGAGTTCTTTTGGTGTTCTTCGGTTTTGGCAATTGGGAAGATTTTGTATGAAAAACTTTAGTGTCTGGAATATTCCTCTATGAATGTTGCAATTTTCCTCCAGTATTCTGGGCTACAAATCCCCTAGGTACATAAAAACATGCCAGTGTATGCATCTCTTGATTTTTGCAGTCATGGTGTGAGTAGTGCATCATGTCATTCTTGTAGGTTTTAGGCATGTCCATGTGCCTCACCAGATGAGTGCATTTCTGGCAAATCTGTAATGGAATTGCCAGAGGCAGAAAGAGTCAACAGCATCATACTAAAAGTGGTCACATGACTTTATTATGTGGATATACTGCTCATCACCTCCAAAAGACTCAACCTAGACAACCTCAAGAACAGCCTCAGCGTGGAACTGTCTATTCAGTTAACCTTAGAAGAGGAAGCTAATGATGCTTTTCCTTTCCTTGACATAATTCTCATTAATCAAGACAGCCACTTCAAATTCAAAGTGTACTGACAGCCAGTCAACAAGTATATATGATATACACTGATACTTGCACCATGACTAAGGAACCAAACTAGGTGCACTCAATGGCATGTTTTAACATACCTAGATGATCTACAGTCCAAAATATCTGGAGGAAGAGTGCAACATTTTTAAAGCACCTTGTGGACACTAAAATTTTCTGTACACACGACCTGGGATTGCAGGAACTGTGCATGCAAGATTGGCCTACTTACAGGCCACACTGCAGGATATACTACACCCACCCTCACCAAGAGTAACATAGGTGTTGCCATTATCATGTCCAGCACTATCAGATTTGATTATGCAGCAAGACAACTGCCAGGACCATGGCAGTGCAGGTATCTACATTACATGTGATGGTAATTATCAGATGTAAGACACCTATAGATCAGGTTGGAAAAACACCAGTGTGCCTGCAGGACTCGATAATGCCAGCATAATAGGGAGGGACCAGGCTTCACACCTGATATCCTGGAACTATGCCCAACTGGTCATAAAGGAAAGGGACAAAACATGACATGGATGCCTAGAAGCTGCATTAATGTATATACAAACTGCAGTCCAACATAATTAGAGCTTTCAGTTTGGCCAAACTTGTTGTCAGTTCATATTACATAAATGAACAGGGGGCACTTTAAGGACCAGTAGACCACCCGTACAGTGCTCCTGCCTAATTTAACCTAGTGACCTCACTGACCTAGCCTGACTACACTTGTATAAATTTACTTGTGCATACATAAGAATATATGAAAGAAGGAACACTGCAACAGACCTACTGACCCATGCAAAGCAGGTCCATGCCACCCCCCAGCCTAGAACAATGACCACCTAGTCAGGTCACTTCCACTTAAGGAAGGAGCACAGCACCAGACCTGGTAACCCAAGCTAGTCAGGTTCAACTCACACCCACTCATGTATTTATCCAACCTATTTTTAAAACTACACAAGGTCTTAGCTTCTACGACGGTACTTGGGAGTTTGCTCCACCCATCCTTCCTGAATCTGAATTTGTCCAACTTGAAACCATTGCTACAAGTCCTGTCTTGGCTGGATATTTTCAGCATGCTATTTACTTCACCTTTATTTAATCCTGTTTTCCATTCTAGAGGGTGCAGATTCAGGGCCCTTAGTGTATCCTCATAGGGAAGATTTCTGATACGTGGGATCAACTTTGTCATCCCCCTCTGTACGTTTTCCAGTGTTTATATCCATTCTGTAATATGGTGACCAGAACTGTGCAGCATAATCTAAATTAGGCCTAACCAAGGATATATAGAGTTGAAGAACAACCTGAGGACTTCTATTATTTATACTTCTTGATATGAAGCCAAGGATTCTGTTAGCTTTATTGCAAACACTTATGCACTGTTGTCGTGGTTTCAGATTACTGCTAATCAGAACTCCTAAATCCTTTTCGCAATCAGTAGTATTAAGATCTACAATATTCAGTTTATAAGTGGCATGGTTATTCTCCTGTCCAACATTTAGCACCCTGCACCTGTTTATATCAAACTGCATCTGCCACTTCTCCGACCACTGCATCCGTCTATTCAAATCATCCTGGAGCGCACTAATGTCCTCATTAGAATGATTGGACGGCCTACTTTGGTGTCATCAGCAAACTCTCCTATGTTGCTATTTATTCCCTCATCCATATTGTCCACGTAAACTGTGAACAGCAAGGGGCCCAACACTGACCCCTGTGGAACACCGCTTGTGGCATGCCCCCATTCTGATTTCTCCCCATTTATGCAAACTCTTTGCTGCCCATTTATCAACCACGCCTCTAACCAGGAAAAAATTTCTCCTATTCCGTGTACCTTAAGTTTCCTCAAAAGTCTCCGATGTGGAACTCTATCGAAAGCCCTACTGAAGTCCACATACACAATATCATATTCACTACCATGGTCCACCTCCTCAAACACCTTAGCGAAAAAAGTTAGTAAATTCTTAAGACAGGAACCCCCCTTAGTAAAACTGCGCTGAGATTCATTTATCAATTTATGCCTATCAAGATGGCTACGAATTGCCTCGGCAGTTATTGATTCCATAAATTTTCCCACTGTGGAGGTAAGGCTCATTAATCTATAGTTTGAAGCTAAGGACCTGTCACCCATCAGGCACCATGCCAGTTTGTAGTGATATGTTGAAAAGATTAGCCAAAGGTTTGCAAAGTTCCTTTTTACATTCCTTTAAAACCCTTGCAAACAATTCATCAAGGCCTGGGGATTTGTTAGGTTTTAATTTCTCAATTTGTCTGAGGTCTGAGGACCATGTCACTAGTTACTGCAATCATGCATCGTTTATTATTGTTCTGTTCTACATAATTTATCATACCTGTTTATTGACTGTAGAAACCTGTTCCACAGGCAAAGTCTAAAGTTCCTGTCTATGGTGCTCTATTTTTATTGCATGATATTTCTACTAGTTTGATCTTAAAATTTAGTCAAAACCATTAGTGCTGTATAATCCTTCTGGGTTATCACTTAGTTTTGATTGTAATAAGCTAAAACCATGTACAGGAATATTTCATCAGTAAATAGCTTTATGTAAGTAAAATTTGTTTAGTCGACTTGTAGCATTTTCTATATATCCTTTATTCTTTCCAGTGGAACGACACCAACTCGTTAAGAGGGACCAAAGTCTTCCAGAGGCACAGTAACTTCCTCTTTAAAAGGATTTCTAATTACTCAGTATGTAGTTGTCAGGAAAATGATTAAGTTATCTATTAGGAAAAAAAATTAAATAAAAGACTATAAGATCCAAGATATTAAAAATACCTTAATACCGTACAGTAAATTATGAAAATTTTAACTATAGAAAACAGCCTATGAACATATCTCTTTGAAAATAAATTAATACTGCCAGTTGTATCCTCTTGAATTTCTACTGAGAAACACTAGCGTCTGACACTTGGACTGATTTGCACTTCACCTGAACCCTATGTGGTTCTCTATTCACTCCAACAATGTATTAAAAGTGAGGTCCATAGTTGATGTCCAATGTGAAATATGGGCTGTCTTCCAGTGTTCAGTAGGCTGAGATGGTTGTCATCAGAAGTAGATCAAGGTATGTACAAGTCACGCACCCTTCTTGAATCCACTTGCCAAGATAAATACAGCTGTGCAACAACTCAAGTGGAACCCCTACATGGATGGCCCTGAAATAAGACAAAATACAGGTTACCAAGATTTTTTAAACCAGATTTGCCCTGGTAGGGGACTACAAAGATAGGTGAAACAGTTACAGTTATGACCAAGTAGTCAGTGCTGGAAAAATTATAAGCAAATAATCAAGTACACTGGTTCCTTGAGTTATGTGAGGGTCTTTAATTATGGTTTACCCTCACACAAAGGAATTTAGTTTTGAGTTGTGATGAAAATTTTGAGATACAATAAGTGATACACTGCTTCAGTCTATGGAGTGGCAGGTGTAAAGTGTATAAATCTGGGGTGGAAGTAAGTTTGGGTATGAATTATCCCAGGAAGGATTGGAGAGAGGATAAAGAAAGTGCAAGTGCTAGGGGCTTGAGTAGCCAGCAGGCTTGTGTGAGCACATTAGATCAGAGTGTAAAGTTTTTATAGCTTGATGTGACCCTTTTGGGTTTAGCATTGTTATATTTCAGCTTGATGTGCATGGTGACATTATTGATGGAATATTGAGAAACTGGTTAGTCAGTCCTGGAGGTGGGAAGTGCAGTGGCTGCACTCTGAGGAAGGAGTGGAGTGTTGCAGTTTGTAGGGTCATTTGAATTGTCTTCACATTTCTGGCAAGATGACTGTTGAATATTGGTGAATGTATTTTTTTTGGGGGGGGGGGGGAGGGGCACACTACCTCAGAGACTGTCAAAATGATAAACTAATTCATTCAACAGCTGCCTTGCCAGAACTGTGGAGACTTCACAATTCAAGTAACCCTTCAAACTGTGACATCCCCAGTCCTCCCCCAGAGGGCATGCACTGTACTGACCCTGCCCCTCCTTCCTACTACCCGAGATTAATACACTCCCTTGATCATCTTACTCTGCATCATCCTCTTTAAATGCCCAAACCACCTCTAATTTATTTACTCCTGATTTTCTGCATAATATTCACTATGCATTGCCCTCAGACATGACATATCCACTGCCTCTAGACTTCTTCTTGCTGCAGTGTTTAAGCCAGTCTCGCATAATTGATGATACCACCATAATCTAGCATATTCCCCATTTTGGCACCATAGATACAGTCAGCTCTCGTATACAGCTATTCTATGTAGTATGATTTTTTGCAAATGCCTTTTGGATACACATTTTCAAATTGAATAGCATGTACAATGATGGCCTTTCCACATGCTATTCAACTTTGGATTTACTTTTTCAGTTGCTTTAACAAACACTCAGACTAGAAGATTTATAAGAGAGCCAACTAAATTTGTCTTCACAGACACCGCAACACACCACCTACATTTTTTTACCGTGTCTCTTCCATGGTTCATCCTACCTTTCGTAAACCCATCTGCTGGCAAGTCCACTCCCAAATATGTGAATGCAGTACATTTAATAATCTTTCCCTCCAATCTGATAGGCAATCATTCATTTCCTCATTTTACCCCATTTCTATTTTAACTTCTTCCTTTTACATACCCTCCTAAATTTATTCACCAACCTTTGCAAGTTTATTCAAGCTCCCAAAATAACCATGTCATAAGCACAGCAACTGTGATAAATTCATTGTCATTTATTGCACCCTTCCTCAATATTCTAGTAATAACATCTTTTATAACCCATTTATAAATGTTAAACCTGGTCACATGGCATCACATCCCGTGTATTATACCGGCACTTACGGAAAAATAACTGCCCCCTGTCTCCTTCATATCTAAACCAAGCCTCACTATCTGCATAAAGAATTTACTGAATGCATTTGCAGCATTTACCACATTGCTTCCCTGTTCACCCTATCATGCCTTTTTTTTTTTATATATTCTTCCATAAATGGGATAAAAGCAATTACATTATCAAATACTGTTCAATATTTGTATGCTTCAATCAAAAACTTACTCTATACACATCCTTACCTTTCCTAAATTGTCTGTAGTGTGTATTCACTTGAATTTTTTTTTTTTTTTTTTTGTTTTTTTTTATTCTCCAACAAGTCGGCCGTCCTCCCACGCCACCGAGGCAAGTGGACTCCAAAAAAGAAAGAAAAAAATCCCCAAAAAGAAAAATACTTTCATCATCATTCCAACACTTATCACCACACTCTCTTCATTATCACGTTTTGCAGAGGTGCTCAAATACAACAGTTTAGGAAGAATACACATATAAAGATACACAACATACCCTGAACCCTCCAAACTGCCAATATATCCCAAACCCCTCCTTAAAGTGCAGGCATTGTACTTCCCCATTTCCAGGACTCTGTCCGACTAAATGAAAATAACCCGTTTCCCCTGAATCCCTTCACTAAACTATTACCTTCTTCACCCTCCAACAAGATCATCAGGTCCAAGTACCATTCGTCCCATTCACTCCTATCTAACACACTCACGCAACGCTTGCTGGAAGTCCAACCCCTTCCCACAAAACCTCCTTTACCCCCTCTCTCCCAACCCTTTCGAGGACGAACACCCTACCCCCTCTCTGCTGTTTCCTTCCCCTTGGGAATTTATATGCCTTTCCATGTCACTTCTACTTTGATTCAATCTCTCAAATGACCAAAACCCCCTCAACAACCCCTCTTCTGCCCACTGACTAATACTTTTTATTAACTCTACACCTTTTCCCTAATTTCCACACTCATCCGAATTTTTCTGCATAAAATTATACACCACACATTGCCCTTATAAACGGACATCTCCCTCCTCCAACCATCTCCTCGCTGCTGCATTTACCCCCAAGCTTCACCACCCATAAAAGGTGTTGGTACTACGATACTTCATACACTCCTTTCTTTGCCTCCATAGATAACATTTATTTTGAACTCCACATATACCTCAATGCACCACTCACCTTTTTTTCCCCCTCATCAATTCTATGATTAACCTCATCCTTCATAATATTTCCCTCCGCCGACGTACTCACTCCCAAGTATCTGAAAACATTCACTCTCTTCCATACTCCTCCTCCCCAATTTGATATCCATTTTTTCTTTACTAAAATCATTTGATACCCTCATCACCTACCTCGTTCTATGTTCTACTTTCAATTCACTTATCTAACCTTTAACACACATTCCCAAACATCTCCACTAACCTTGCAATTTTCTTTAAATCTCCCATAAGCACAGTATCATCAGCAAAAAGTAACTGTGTCAATTCCCATTTTGAATTTGATTCCCCAAAATTTAATCCCACCCCTCTCCTGAACACCCTAGCATTTACTTCCTTTACAACCCCATCTATAAATATATTAAACAACCATGGTGACATTACACATCCCTGTCTAAAACCTACTTTTACCGGGAAGCAGTCTCCCTCTCTTCTACACACCCTAACCTGAGCCTCACTATCCTCATAAAAACTCTTCACAGCATTTAGTAGCTTACTACCTTATCCATACACTTGCAAAACATGATCTACATAAAGATAAAATGACAGGAAAGTACAAATTTCTTTCCACAATAAATAAGGCAAATAAGACGGCACAACTGTAACTAGAAAGTGTTCATAGACTGGCTGATTACAGGCATGGATCTATATAGCACTATGTACTACAACTGTTGGCAACTTTAAAGTTATGACAAAAGATGGGATACCACAAACTGCTCTGTTTCTATAACTACATATGGGTAATTATGTTCAAGAGTAGGTATGTAGGGCATCAAAAGTCAAAAAAGCTAGTCAATATAGGTTAAGAAAAATTGGAGGGCCCAGGCGCCAAGAAGCAGCCTTGCAAATACAACCTATTACCATACATAGGTGGGAATTATTGGATACAATATGTAGATTTAGATGTGCTCAATCAGTCAGTCAGGTCTCATTGTAAATTTGTGCATTCATTTCACCATTCACTATTATATCAGCTAAATTTTTGGGATTAAATACAGTACTAAGCTTGCTTTTAAAAATTCCTCCTTCAAGGGGGGCTCCTTTGGCGTGGAGAAGAGGCTCTTGGTCTAGGAATTAGCCCTGTCGGCTTCTTCCTCAGAACCGAACCTAATACCGCCCCATTTCTCCCCTCCCCTAACCCCTCCTCCCCATCCTCCCCTTTTTTTCCATTCCTCCTCCTCCTCCTCACCCCTCCCTTTTGCCCTTCCTCTTTTTAGCCTGTGATTTCCTCCCCACAGCGTCGCAGTTTCCTAGGTAAGGGGAAAGGAACAACCGGGTCGATCCCTTTCCGTTGAGGTTTCTTGGCGGTGGCGTATTTTGCCGTGGAATCTGATTTCCGTAGGGATGTCCCGATCCTCTCCCGGGTTATCCCTGAGTAGCTTTTTGGGGTCTTTTGGGCGACCGGTGTATCTCTGGAAAAAGCCACCTTTCGATTCCCGGGTGGTGGCTGAAGGAGGAATCTTTTGTGTCGAGATCCCCGCCCTCATCTTTATGTCCACTCGAGTTAGCTCGCGATGTGAGGTTGCTATCCCGGATTGCTAGGTTTACTGTGCATGAAGGACGGTAATGGCACGGGTTCCATGCTTGCATCTGCGTAACAGCGGTTTCGAGTCCACTTTGGGCGCGGAGGGAGATTTTCCGGCCCTTTCATTCCTCCTGGAACAATCCTTCCCCGCTCTCCCTATCCCCCCCCATCCCCTTTTTTTTTATTCTTTTTTGTTTTTATTTTTC